TCAACTTCTGGCATTATTTCCTGAACTTTAGGGATCCTACTGTGAAAGTCATTGCCTGTGCCTATATGCTGTACTGCTAACCCTATGTTTACTTCCAGGAGTTGCAGTTTCTGGTCCAATTCTTAGGTCTTTGATCCATTTTGAGTCAATTTTTGTGCAGGCTAAGAGACACAGGTCTAGTTTCATTCTTCTACATATGGATAATCAGTCTTTCCAGCATCATTTGTTAAAAAGGCTGTCTTTTTTTTTGAGTTTTTGGCAACTTTGTCAAGGATCAGACGACTATATCCATGTTGGTTTTTCTTTGTGTGTTCTGTTCTGTATCACTGATATATGTATTTTTAGGTCAGTACCATAAAGTTTTTACTACTATATTGTGATAGTATAATTTGAAGGCAGGTATTGTGTTGCCTCCAGCATTGGTCTTTTATTTTTCCAAATGGATTTTAGGTTTTGTTTTTTTTTTAAGTTCTGTGAAGAATGTCATTGATGGGGATTGCACTGAATCTGTATATTGATTTTATATATGGCCATTTTGACAATATTAATGTCATGTCTACTCATGAACATTTGAGGTCTCTCCATTTTCTATAATCTTCTTCATTTTCTTTCTTCAATGTTCTATAGTTTTCATTATAGAAGTCTTTTACCTTCTTCCTTAAATTTATTCTATTCCTAGGGTTTTTTTTTTTTTTTGGCTATTGGGAATGGAATTGTTGTGGTGATTTCTTTCTCAGCAGATTTGTTGTTGGAATAGAGGAAGGCTATTGATTTTTGTATGTTGATTTTTTAACCTCTATTTTGCCAATTTTTTGTCTTTCCTCTAGTAATCTTTTGGTGGAGTTAAGAGAAGAAAAAGGAAAAGAAAGATGGGGGCAAAGAGATGTCATAGAAATCAAAGGGAGACCAGTAAAGGAAAGGAAGCAGGGGGTGGGATGTGGGGAAGAAAAAGAAGAAAAGTTACTGATGGCTTAAAACTATCACAAATATACACATGTAGTTAAAAACTACAAAAAATAATAAAAAGCAAACAATAATTTATATTCAAAGTATTCAAGGAAAGTAATATGTGTTTTTAATGAGGAAGAGTTTAATGATACAGAGAATGTCTTTTCGGTAAGGGAAAAAGGAGTGATTTTGTGTGAAAGTAAAATGTCTGGTTATTCCAGAATGAGAAAGAAGAAAAGAATAGGGCCAAAACTCAAACGGGTGTAAAACTGTTGCAAAAAGTTTATAGGAAATAAATTTTAGGTATACTCAAGAAACTAAAATTGGATGGATGTATTTATAATTTTTTAAAGGGCTCGATAATGTATGGATAGAAACCCTAGAATGGTTTACTCTGTATTAAAAGGAAAAGCTTTTTTGGCTTTATCATGTTTTTGATTACAGATACACTTCAACTTATGAAGTGTATGGGGTTATATTAAGATAAACCCATTGTAAGTTGAAAATATCAAGTTAAAATGCATTTAATATAGCTAACCTACTAAATGTTATAGTTTAGCCTACCTTACATGTGTTTAGAACACTTAATTAGCCTACAGTTGTGCAAATCAACCACCAAATCCTTTTTTACAATAAAGTGCTAAATATCTCATCTAATCTACTGAATACATTCCCAAAGTGAAAAACAGAATCATCATTTGAGTATGCTTTCACACAACTACAAAAGTGGGAGATCATCTGTATTTAAAAAACTGAAGCCTTTTCAAAATGGAAAGATGTAAGTTGCTGTGGGTGTAGCTCACTGGTAGAGTGCTTTCCTAACATGCTTAAGGCCCTGAGTTTGATCTACAGCATCACACGCATGTGCGTGCACACACACACACACACATAACTTAAAAGGTCTTGGGCTGGGTAACACGGTAACACGCTCACCTGGCATGCGTAGGGCGCTGGGTTCGGTCCCCAGCACCACATAAAATAAAATAAAGATGTTGTGTCCACCGAAAACTGAAAAATAAATATTAAAAAATTCTCTCTCCCTCTCTCCTATCTCTTTAAAAAAAAAAACAGTCTCAGGTTTCTTTATAAATTCATCCATTCATTTAATAGAAAGTCTAAACAAATTTATTTTGAAATATTCAATTAATTGCCATAATGTCAGCCATAATAGTTTTATTGTGCTACAGAATATAAAAAGTTTTCCCTCCTACTTGAATGTACCCCTGTACCCACTAACTATCCTCTTTTCATCTTCCCCTCCAGTACAGTCTTTCCATGTTCTGGTAATCATGATTTTATTTGCTACTTCAATTAGTAAACTTTTCAGCTTCCACATAAAAGTGAGAATATGAAGTATTTTACTTTCTGTGCCTGACTTTTGTCACTTAACCTAAGCTTCCAGTTATATCTGTGTTGCTGCAAATAACAGAATGTCATTGTTTTTATGGCTGAGTAATATTCCATTGTAGTGGAATTGCAGGATCACATGATTCAATTTCAATTTTTTCTTTCTTTAACCAAAGTGTGTAAAAGGGTTTCCTTTTCTGTGCATCCTTGCCAGCACTGTGATCTTTTGTCCTTTTGACAATGCCCATTCTAACTGGAGTGAGGTGATATCTCCTTGTGGTTTTGATTTCCTTGATGATTAGTTATGTTGAACATTTTCTAAAAAATTTGTCATGCTGGCCATTTGTATATCTTCTTTTGAGAAATACCTATTCAAGTCATTTGTTCATTTTAAGATAGTATTATTTGTTTGTTTGCTATTTGGTGGAGTTTTAATATGTACTGGATATAAATTCCTTTTCAGATGAATGGCTTAAAAGTTTTTCTCCGATAGGCTGTCTCTTTTCTCTCTTGGTTATTTCTTTTGTCATGTAGAAGCTGTGTAGTTTGATGTAATTCCATTTGTAAGTTTTGTCATTTTTTTGCCTGTGCATTTGAATTCTTATATATTAAAAAAAAGCCCTGTCTAGTTTAATATCTTGAAGCATTTAACCTTTTTCTTCTGGTATTTTCATAACTTCTGGTTTTACATGTAAGGTTTTGATCTGTTTTGAGTTGATTTTTTTATATAGTGAAAGATGGGGCTCTAGTTTCTTTCTTCTGCATATGAATATCCAGTTTTCTTAATATCACTTATCTATTTATTTATTTTCCTACCTTTTTTAAACTGGTGCATTACAGTTGTACATACTGATGGGATTTGTTGTCACATATTTGTACACACACAAAATACACAATATGATGATATAGTTTGTCCAATACCACTCCTCAGCACTTCTTTCCCCTACCAGCCTCCCACTCATTCATCCCTTTCCTCAACCAATCTTCCTTTGATTTTTCTATTTCTTTTCCCTTTGGCTTCCACATATGAGAGGAAACATATGACCTTTAACACATGACTTATTTCCCTTAACATGATGGTTTCTAGTTCCATCCGTTTTCCTGCAAATGACATAATTTCATTTTTCTTTATGGTTGAATAAAAGTTTACTGTCTATATATACCACATTTTCTTTATCCATTCATACATTGACAGATATTGAGGTTAGTTCCATAGTCTGACTAAGGTGAATTGTGCTGCTATAAACACATATATGCATGCCTGTATCACTGTAATATGATGACTTTAATTCATCAGGATAAATACTGAGAAGTGAGTCATATGATGGTTCCATTCCTAGTCTTTTGAGGATCTCCATACTGACTTCCATTGTGGTGGTACGAATTACAATCCCACTAACAATGTAAAGTGTTTTTTTCCACATCCTTTCCAGCATTTATTATTATTTTTATTCTTGATGACTGCCATTCTGACTAGTGTGAGATGAAATCCCAGCGTAGTTCTGATCTGCATTTCCCTAATGATTAATGATGATGCACATTTTTTTCATATATTTGTTGGCCATTTACTCTTCTCCTTTGAGAAGTATCTATTTAATTTATTTGCCCATTTATTAGTTGGGTTATTTGATTTTTGGGGGTAAAGTTTTTTATGTATTCTGGGTATAATCCTCTGGCAGAAGAGTAGCTAGCAAAGATTTTCTCTCATTCTGTAGGTTTTTTCTTCACGTTCCCAGTTGTTTCTTTTGCAGTACAACTTACCACCATTTATTAAAGACACTTCCTTTCTTCAATGTTAACTTCTTGTGTCTTTGTTGAAAATCAGTTGGCCGTATATATATAGATTGATATCTGGGTCTTTATTCTGTCTCATTTGTCTATGTGTCTGTTTTATACCAGTATTATTCTGCTTTGGTTGCTACAGCTCCAAAGTGAGTTTTGAGGTCAGTTATTGTAATACCACCAGCACTATTTTTGTTCAGGATTGCTTTGGCTATTCAGGGTCTTCTATAGTTCCACACATATTATTGAAATTTTTTTTCTGTTATGTGGAGAATGTCATTGGTATTTTGATAGAAATTGCATTTAATCTGTAGATTGTTTGGGGGTAGTATGGGCATTTTAACAATATTACTTCTTCCTATCCATGAACATGGAACATTTTTTTGTGTGTGTGTGTCCATTTGTGTCCTCTTCAATTTCATTCATCAGTATTTTGTTATTTTCATTATTGGGTTCATTTACTTCCTTGGTAAATTTATTCCTAGGTATTTTATTTTTTTGTGGTCACTGTGAATGAAATTGCTTTACTAATTTCATTCTCAGATATATGTGTATCTCTATGTATATGTATGTGTGTGTGTGTGAGTAAATGTGTGTCTGAGTGTGTGTGCACACATATGTATCCTTCCATATTTGTCTTTAAAAAGTTTGTCACTCTAGTCTTTAACTAAATGAATAACTAAGTATTGTGATGCCATTTAATCAAATGTTTAACTTTTAACCTTTTTTTGCCAGACTTCCAAAAATAAAATCTTAAATATTCTTACCTTGTAAAATGTGAAATGTGACACTAATTAGGTTTATTTGCTATGTTAAAGTACAGAGGAAGTATATGATTTAACTTTACATTTGTATGTGCGTATGTTATTAAGGTTAGTGTTCCAGAAATTGTATGAAGTTCAAAACTAAAAATCTGTTAATACCTTATCTGTTGTTATTGTTGGTTGTTTTCTTCTCTTTTTTGGTATGTCACAGAAATACTCAAATTTTCTTGACAAATGAATTCACATCAGATCTTCAGAAGCTAATCCACAAACTGTTAACCTAAGATCAAACAGAGCTAGAAATAAGTATATAGGACTGAATTAATTGATTTTTATGGAGTTTTTATTTGAAATATTGCTTTTTTATTGTTTTGTTTTTCAGATTTAAGGAAACCTTTTTCTTTTTACCCTTAAGTTGTCTATAATTTGCAGCACGTTGGTAGATTATAACTTTGTAAGCAAAATTAATTTTTCCTCCAATATATGTATACTATTATTGAGTTTAGAACATCATTGCATGAATGCAATAAGAATCTGTTCTTCTTATAGTAGGACAGAAGTAGAAACACTGATTATATTACAAAGGCTTGAATCTGAATGGCACATTTGAGAATTATGTGCACAGAATCAAATGTAACCAGATTTAGTAATTTAAGGCATTGTGGTTGGCTTTGTGAAGCCAATGCTTATCAGCTTTCTTGGAATACCTGTCTGATACCTGGCTTACAGCTTTCCTATTCTTACAACTGAGTATAGATGATCACTTCTGGGCAAGTCCAGAGAATTTAGAAAACCTTGAGGACCTTGAGATTAGAGGAATTCACTCAATTTTGTAATTATCACAAGTGGCAAGTGGCTAACGGTTCAAGTGGCAAAATCTTGGCCAAGCCAACAGTTGGCTTCCTACTCTCAAAAGGCTTTTCAAAGCTTAATATAAGATTCCTTATGAAAATTTCCACCAAAGCAAATTTTAAAATGGCCATGTGGTCAATTACTATTTTTCCTACACTTCTGTAAATAACCAGGCCCAATCTAATGAAAGCAGACTTATTTTGTAAACAAGAATCAAAAGTGAGGTGACCATCAAAAGAAATTTTGTTTCAGTGGGAAACTATACTGCACCTGTTAGTAGAGTATTACCCTGTTCATTGTCTGAAGTTTTTGTCATTTATCTGCAAACTGGAATGAAACTTGAATTATTCTAGTTGCTTCCAATATATAGCCACAACTCCCCAAACTACCATTTCTAATTTTTCTTCCATCCTCCTGACCTGACATAACTGAGAACTAAAGCTACCATTTTCCCAAAGTCCTGTAAGCTAAAGCTGGACAATTTTATGTAAACTTCAAAGAAATAATCATAACAGAGTTTGAATCAATCAATCTATCTATCTATCTATCTATCTATCTATCTATCTATCTCCAGAAATGGAGTCTGCAGTCTCTGTGTTTTCATGTCTCTAGTTTTGCTTCAGTATTCATGGTGGGTGTGTTCGATTGGCAAAGTCTTGATTGTGAGCTCATGCCCAGTGTGTAAAGAGAGGCCGAGTAGTTGGCATTTTGAGCCTCCAGGCCAGGAATTTTCTCTGACTCAGAAGGCAGAGTACTCCCTAAACACAGAAAGAGGGATCTGATACGAGTTAGCCAAGAGTTACAACAAATATTTATCAGATTACGAATAAAGACAGAGTTGAGAATTTTTTCAGAAAAGATAATATTTTAGTTGTTTTTTTTTTCTTTTTCTTTTATTTGCTTTGGTTAAGCAAGATTCTGTCAGGCAAAGTGAAAGCAAGTGATAGGGAGGATACTGTAGGAAGACAAAACAACATAGCTAAAGCTCTTAAGTAGTCTTAGAATAAATTGAAGAGCTTTTAAAAAATCTTCAAATATAAAGGTATTGATTTAGTATGTGCATCTCTGGCACCTCATGTTATTATTAGGATATTCTGTCAATTGCTTGGTTAAATATCTATGAAAGCAAAAGCATGGATATGTGGAATGAATGTTATGTTTGGAGAAAGTAGCAAATTGTTGGCCCAGGATAAATGGAGCATAGGGAGAAGACTGCAGAGGAAACAAGAAAGTAAACTGTACAAATATAAAAGGTTACAAATGAATTCCTGATGAGTTTGAAGTTTATTTTACAGGCTCCCAGACATTTTTGAAAATGGGGATGATATACTGTGGAAGCCTATAAACCCTGCATGTGGGTAAAGTATGATCTAACAACAAAATGACAGGATATTAGTAATTAAACAAAACAGAAAAATAATCCAAGGAAATGGAATAAAACAGAACTTTTAATATATTTTGTATATAAAATATATTAGGCTTAATCAAGCAAGAGAGCTGAACGTCTGTTTCTCCATTTTTCTTGGTTAAATCAGGATGGAGGATTAGTAGTTAACAGAGATTGGGAGGGGAGAAGTAAGGGTTGCAGTAGTACAGTAGAACTCTTAGGGCCCTGCATAATTTTTCACTGAAGTTCATTAGGGGACAAAGCAAAGATCACCGTTTGCCAGGAAAGCTCTGGGAAGCAAATGACTCTGGAAGAAGGAAGAAAGGCCTGGCCATGCCATCTTAGTATGGATTAACTGAGAAATCATCTTCTCTCAGAGAAAGGGGAGATTTTCCCCATTCTTTTAATGTCATATTGAATTGGTGGTGGTAGCATGACAACAACTAAGATGGCTTATAAAATATCAAGTATATAAACAGGTGAACTTAAGTTAGGTTATCCCTTTTCATACATGTTGGTTCTAAGACCATGCATATATTATTGATAGTTGAGAATGCTGTTAGTCATTAATACGTAGTATACAAAGTGGTTAATGGAATGAAGATGGTGATTTCTAGAGCTATAAGTAATGTATTGATAAGTATAAATCATGTAATAATAAAAATCCTTCTGAGAAGAACAGAAAGGTAGCTCATATCTCCTTCTGGAATGGACGAGGAATGAAGAGCTCCCAGTAAAATAACCACAACTGGCAAAAATTATGAAAACAAAATTATTTAAAATTATTGGAAATCATCTTAATTACACACAACTAATAAAAAAAACACTTATGTAAGAGTTGGTTAGCACTTGGAAAGAACAACAAAAGTAAGTGGCACTTGAATTACAACACATTCCTCTCTCACTCTCACCCACTAGCTCAGTAAAACAGGGACTCCATTCCATGTAGGTGTGGCCAAAAATATAGGGGTCCTTCTCTCCCAAGCTCCAAGCCAATGGCTTTATCTCTCAGGGAGGGGCCAGTCATCATTATCCCAGCAACAAGCTGCAGAGTTCAAATTCTAAGCAAGCATAGCTGAGAAGTCACGGACTGCCTTCTTACACTGAGCTCTACCTGGTTAGCAGAAGTTCTACTTCAGGTAAGTAGACTGAAAACTGAAAACACTGGGACCCACATCATCCTTTTCTTATGCTGGAAGAAGCAAACCAAGAAGATTAGAGGCTACTGTTCTGCACATTGCTCTGTTCATAAAATAGAGGTGTTACTCTAAGAAAACTGTTCCTGCCCTTAGCTTCAGAGAATTGGCTCAGAGATTTTACCCAGGGGAAGAAAAAGGCCATAGATCAGAAAGTTCCAAAGCTCTTCCCAAAAGAAATGACTATTTAGAATAGAGTATAAAAAAGCATATGCCTCAAGGAGCTCTTGAAACAATGGAGATTTTGGTAGTAAGAAAGTAAGAGGAGGCTAGTATCTAGTATCTTCAGGAAAAGAAATGAGACAAGGGTTAGGCCACACCAGTGAACAGCAGAAAATGACTGGATATTAGTTATTAAAAAATAGAAAGAAAAATATACCTATAGAAATGAGAATATTAGAGAGAATCAAGAAAAGTGACAAGTAAGAAGAGTCTTTTTGAGGTCAGAATAAACTTCAAAGAATGGTCTGAAAAATTACTCTAATAAAGAGATTAGAATTTAATTGGAACAAACTGTTCAAGTAATTTGTGACTGGGAGAATTAATGAAAACAACAGAGCATTCCACCAGCAAGTAGTGAAAGTTAACAGATGGACACAATTAATAGAGGCAGAAGGCATAACAGGGAAAAAGACAGTCGAAGAGAACTGTCATAACAGTTGGCATCCCAGGGTGAATATATGCATAGACAAGGTGTGCCTCCTAAGAAGTAACACCAAAAGTGTTACATATTTGGTGAAACTGGCTTGATTAAAATAATCCAGCCAAGTCACTAAACAGATAAAGAAGCAAACAGATACTATGTAGCTATCCCCAAAGTCCAGTTTTGAACAAAATATTATAAGACATGCAAAGTAACAAGAAAATATTACCTATACACAGGGGTGGGGGTGGGAAAGCAGTGAACAGAAACTGCCTATGAGAGGACCCAAATGTCAGACTTAACAAAAACTTTAAAGAAGTCATTTAAACATAATACATTCAAATAACTAAAAGAAACTATGCTTAAAGAGCTAAATAAAAATTATGATGTTTCAGCAGATATAGAGCTCAGTCACAGATTTGAGCTGGCAGAAGAATCAGTGAAATGGAAGAAAGATGAATAGAGATTACATGAGGGAAGAACACAGAAAACAGAATGAACAGAACCTCAGAGAAATGTTGGCAATCACTAAACAGAAACAAATGCATAATGAGAGTAGCAAAAGGAAAGTAGAGAAAGAAACAGACACTCAATGACATAATATCTGAAAACTTTCCACATATAATGAAAATTATAGATTGAACATATCTAAGAAACTCAACAAACTCCAAATAAGATAAACACAAGGAGATCCTACTTAAGACACATTATGGTAAAAATGTTTAAGAAAAAAAATCTTAAATATAGTAAGAGAAAAAGGATTTGTCTCATACAAAGCAACACCAATGAGATCAGCAACTTACTTATCTTCAGAAGGCAGTGAGATGATACAAAGTGCTGAAAGAAAAATAGGAAAAATAAAATAAAAACCACCCAAAACTCGTCAACCTAGACTCTTACATCCAGCAAAAGCTATCTTTTAAAAATTAAGTTGAAATAAGTATGTTCTCAAATAAGAAAAAACACAACTACATTACAAAGAATACTAACAAAGTTCTTTAGGGCCTCAGTTGGTAATTTAACTTTAAACAATACCCATGTTTTAAATACAAAAAGCACCAGTAAAGGTAATTATAATAGACAGTATGTATGCACATTTCTTCTCCTTTCTTCTCTTAACTGACTTAAAAAGGAAATATACAAAACAAGAATGTAAATAAAGTTTGACATATAATAATATATATGACATATAGTAATATATGACATATAGTAATATATATGACAATAACATAAAGGAGCACAGAATAAGCATTTGACAAAATCCCATACCTCTTCATGTAAAAAATACTCAATAAACTGGAAATACAAGGGTATTTCCACAATCATTAGGGTTATCTATGAAAAAAAAATCTATAGTTCACATTATATTTAAATGTGAATGAATGAGTACTTTCCTTCAAGATCAGGAATAAAAAAAAGGATGTCTACTCTTGCCTGCCACTTCTATTCACCACTGTACTGAAGGATCTGGCAAGGGAAATAGTTAAGACTGTGAATCATACTGAGAAGGAAGAAGTAAAACTAATTCATATGATATGATCCTGTACATAGAAAAGCCAATGGAGTCTTGTAAAAAACTATCAGCAAGATTATAGGATACAAGATTAAGATAAAATTTTAAAAAAGTTATATTCTTTAAACTTGCAATGAATCATCTGAAAGGAAATGAAAAAATAATTCCACTTAAAATCATATTGGAATAAAATATTCAGTAATAAATATAACAAAGGAAGTACAAACTTACACTTTAACAACCACAAAACAATGTTAAGAGAGATCAAAGATTTAAGCAAATATAAAGGCATCTCATGATCATGGTTCTCAGCCCTAATATTGTTAGGATGGTAATATTCCCTGAATTGATCTACAGATTCAATGCAGTCTTGGTCAAAATCCAGGCCTGTTTCTTTGCTGAAATTGGCAAGTGATCTTCAAGTTCACATGGAAATTGAAAGAACTCAAAATAGCAAAAACAAACAAACAAACAAACAAACAAAATCCCAACTAACCAAGTAGACAAAACAATGTTGAAAAACAAGAAAAATGTTGGAAGACTCCTATTTCTTTATTTCAAACTTATCAAACCTAAATAAAAATTATGATGTTTCAACAGATTTAGAGGTGCTTAGTCACAGGCCATAGAGATATATATGTAGATGAATTCAAAAGAATTGAAAAGAAACACTCATATTTATAGTGAATTGATTTTCAACAATGGTGCCAAGAAAATTCAGTGGAGAAAGAAAAACCTTTTAAACAAACGGTGGTATGATAACTGGATACCCATGTTTTTTAAAAAAGAAGTTGAGCCTGTTCCTCTTAACATACTCAAAAAAGATAATAGACCTAAATACACACGATGGAAATGAGAAAATCTTAAAGGGAAAAAAAATCAATAAATTTTACATCATCAAAATAAAAAACTATGTTTTAAGAAACACACAGAAAGTGAAAAGACACTCCACAGAATAGGACAAAATATTTGCAAATCATATACCTGAAATAAGCTTGTATTTAGAATATAAAGAACTCTTGAAACCTGGTACCAGTTCACTAAGACAGATAATGGCAAATATTGACAAAGATGGAGAAACTGAAACCCTCATACACTCCTGACAGGGCTGTAAAACAGGACAATCTTTTTGGAAATAGTGTAATAGTTGCTCAGGTGTTAAATACAGAGTCACTGTATGACTCAGTATGCTATTCAGCTATCTTTCATTGTGACAAAATACCTGAGATCATCAACATAAAGGAAAAAAGATTTATTTTGGTTCATAGTATCAGAGGTTTAAATCCACAATTATTTGGCCCCATTTACTTTGGGCCTGTTGTGGCATAATACATCATGGAAGGCATGTGTGGTGTAGGAGGTCTGTGTACCCCATGGCAGCTTGGAAACAGAGAGACAGGAAGGAACGGGTCCCCATGTGCTCTTCAAGGGCATGTCTCTAATGACCTAACTTCCTTCCACTAGGCCCTACTCTTAAAGGTTCCAGTTCCACAATCTCCCAACAACACCACAAGATGGCAACCAAGATTTTAACATACAGGCCTCTGAGGGACATTTAAGATCCAAACCTTATATAACATTTAGTAATTCCATGCCCAGTTATGTTACAAAGAACAATGAAAAATTTTTGTACAAAAACCTGCACACAAATAATCATAGTATAATTATTCACTATAGCTAAAATATAGAAAGTGAAATGTTCATTAGTTAATAAATGGGTAGATCAAATGTGGTATACACATGTAGGATATTACTGGGCAATAAAATTGAATAAAATACTGATAATGCTACAGTATTGTATGAACAATAAAAATATTATACTGAGTGGAAGAAACCAGTCAAAAAAGACCACAAATTGTATGATTCCATTTGTAAGAAATATCCAGAATTGGCAAATCTCTTCAAATATAAATACCAGTAGTTGCATAGGCTGAAGTGAAGAGATAGGATGAAACTTGCAAGGATATGAGCCATTATTGCTAATGAGTCCAGGTTATGTTTCGGGCTGAGAAGAATATTCTAAAATACATTGTGATGAAGACTGTCTAAATTACAAAAGGTGGGAAAAAAGTAAATTATGCAACATATGAATTCCATATGAATAAAGTAGTTATGCATATTTGAAAAAGACATGATCCAGCTACACTAGTATGGGCAGAGTATGAACAACAATGCCTTAATTAGGGCTCTGATGCAAACTGGATTTAAGAAATTGAAGTTTTGTGCCACGGGGGTTTAAGCCACCTACTTCAGTGACATTAAACAACATTTAATGTCATTTCAAACAGAAATATAGCTTCACTTTGGTGCTCTACTTAGAACACAAGGTAGGACTCAGCACCAGTGATTACGTCAAATGGATGAGGGACCATTCTGGGTGGTCTCATAAGAAAGAAAAAAAGAATAATGGGTGAGGTAGGAGTCAGGATTGCTATACTGAAAATGGACAACCATTCAAATGGCTTGGTCCTGATAAAATGAAAGAAGGTCTATTAAGGCCCTCATGAATATTATTCTCACGAGCATTATTGTTTTAGAAAGCCTTTAAAACATGAACCTGAAATTTTACTTTTAGCCTATGTTGGAAGAAGTACTCATACATTTAGAATTAGGGGCGATAATTAACATTTGCTACGAAGGCTTTGTACAGTTTTGTGAGATAAATGTACTATACATTAAATAGGAGTCAAGTTAATTTTTCTTAATCTGGAAAAGCATGAGTTTGTATCAATTGAAGTCAAAGAAAAAAACACATCTTGGATACATCTCCTAAATCCACTATTAACTGTAGTGGATATCAGAAATCAAGAAGCTTACAGTTTGGTTGAGTATGTTTAAGCATAAAAGTAGTTCAATAACAATATGATATTTAAGTAAAACAGCTTCAAAAAATAGCAGAAGTTATTTATGATCAGCACAAAATTATTTGTCAAAGACAAAAATACAGAAAATTAATCTTCCAGAAGAGAGAGAGAGAGTGAGCGAGCGCATGAGCGCATGCCCACTATCACTGTAGATTAAGATGAGAGTTACTTTTTAATTTCAGAACCTAAAAAACACATAGGAAGTCTAGAAAAAGTATTTGCATAACATTAGTCTTTAAAAATTATGTTACTCAATTAGTATTTATAAAATTTGACCTTTAGAATCCATCAGTATCCCCCACTACTAGATTACTGTTCTTTTTTTTTTATCATTTCTACTTCATTGTGTGATAGATTATACTAAATTAATCTGTGCATTGAGTGGTTAATTGCACCTGAGGATCACCTACTCCTGTCACCAGGGCTTTCTTTTCCTTGGTATATACTTGTGCCTATGGCATCTATTATAACATAATGGTGAGTCAGCTGGTACTAGATTCTTTTGTTTCATATTTATTGCATAGAAAAATATCTTTCTTGGATAGCACAATATTATTCATGCTAAATAAACATCACTATCAATACTGGCAGCTCAATTTAGTTAATGTTATGAATTTCTATCTTGCTATTTTGAGAAACCATTTCACTTTTTTTCAATTGAGTCAAGTTTATATACATTCTTTCTCCCACCAAGTGCACTTTTATAGTACTTTAAAATAAATGTCATAGTTGATGAGTGTATGTAAGATGGGGAAGGTATTAAAATAAACTTGAAAATCTTCAGAATTTATCACCCAGAAAGTCACAGTTCTCATACTCAGAACACTATAAAGACAAGACAGAGAGTCTCATTGTCTGAATATACTCAGTCAAAAGTTCTCACAGTATAAAATACCTACTAAGGTACAGATCACTCACAAATTGGACCCTACTCATATATGCTTTTCTGCCCAGCACTAAAGAGCCTGTTCTTACCCTTCATGACAAATTTGGTTGGTCTGTTTTCCCAATTACTGAAGGGTATAAATGTATCGGATGTATTTATGGCTCTGAATAATACAAGTTAACCTAAGTCAATATGGGGAAAGATGCAGGATCTCATGGAGTTAATGGAAGTGTTATTGGAACACTACTTAAACCACACATAAAGCCAGTAAGACCAGCTAAAAAGTGAAATACAGAAAATCAGCAAGGATTATAATTCAATGGATATATGATGTAGAATATTGTGAATATCAAAGGATTGGAGAGATCCTTAGGAAAACTGAAAAACTTTCAATATTCTTGCAAAATGAAGAACCTCTTGAAAATCATGCTAAAAATTAAACATTATGGGCAGGATGTCATATTGTGTTACCAAGAAACTTTGTTAGAAATTACAAAAGAGAAAATCAAAATGTCATTGCTCTTTTTTGATTTTCATTTGTCCCTCAGTTAAAATTATAACTTGCATTTATATA